AGTTGTTCGCTGCCCTGAGTCCCTCCCGGAGAAGGGTGGCATACAAATAATAAAATTCAATTCAATTCAAATAAAACTGCTTCATGTGGTACCTTTAAAGCAACTGTATGCACAGTTTGATTTTTTTTCTCCAGAAAAAAGTGTGTTGATCTTGATATACCAAAGTAACGAAATATTAGATAGGACAGAATTTTTGTAATTATTAAATAAATGATAAGACAAGAGTAAGATACACAGTTTAGAATATATGATAAAATTGATTCAAATCTAGTGTTTTCAATTAAATGAGCAGTTTCAAGTTATTTTCAAATTGAGTATTTCTAAACAGAAAGAATTTAGCCTGAAAGACCTGTATAATATGTTTTGGTCAGTTTTGGCCAAGGAATCCACAGTAAAAGAAATGCAAAAAAAGTTGTGGGAAATTATGGCCAAAAGGAGCCAAAGAAGGCTGATATTGTAGTTTCATTGGGGGCCCAGTGGTTGACAGGAAACCAGAACCATGAAATGAAGTGCTACAAAAATAGAAAACAATTTTATTCATATCCACTTTTTAAATGTCAGAGTATGTGTGATTTTGGCTGAAAAAAGGAGGTGGATGATTGTCACAGATGCTATTTGTCAGTTACACTTTCTGAACTAATGGATAGAAAATGAATTGTTCCTAAAGATTAGGAGGCAAAAATCCTTTAAAATTATCAGTATTGGGTTAATACTGGAAAGAGGGCTATTTTCAATAGATATAATGGAACATCAATCTGTTACCATTTTATTAATGAAACATCATGACTCCCAATAAAGGTTTGAGGAATTTGGAAAAAGAAACAAGAAAGCTGCTTTTTACTGCAAAAAAGCATGCAGTTAACAGCAGTAAACAATTCAGCAGTAGAAGAAGCCTTAGTAAATGTTTCAGGTGAGTCAATATAAAAATAGCAAATGGTCACTGCTGTTAAGAAAGTATTCCAAAAATATCTTTGAAAAAGATGCAGTTTTCAGTTAAAGATGAAGGCTGTATTTTCCTGATTTTTTAATTGTATCACGTATATACACATATATTTATGAACAGCATATTTTAGACAGCTTGGCTTAATACAAATTTTCCTTCTGGGGCCTTTTATCATATAATGCCTATATTTAAGTTGACTGTTCTGAGTTTTAAAAAGTATATAACATCTCTTTTCTGCCATTACCCAGAACCAATCTGTCACAGCAGTTAAAAACAAATTGGCAATATGGCAAGGAATAAATTAACATACAATGAAATATTAGAACCAATATGAATAATGGCACAATATTAAATTTTTCAAAAATATTAATGTGAAGTAATATGAGTTCTATTATAATACAACATATTTTCAGAGGATTGTCCCAATACCAAATTAGGTTTATCAGAATTCCAAATAATAAAAGCACTAGTAGTGTACCATATCATGAGAGGCACTAATCATCAGTATGCAAAAGCCCATTCCACAGAGGGCATAGCAGCTCATACTTGTAAATATCAAGGCCAGTAACACAAAGATCTAGATATACAAGTGAGAAGTTCATAAAATAAAACTCTTTGCATAAATAAAAATGTCCAACTTTATGCAATATATGCAGGACTTGTGAGTTGTGTAGAATCCCTACAAATAATAAATTGATATACCTTTTAATTCTATCCCTAAAGGAAAAAGCAATCCAAACATCCAGACAAAAATTTCACATTGAAAGTGCAACTCAATTTCTCCAATTTATTTTTAAAAAATGATTTTGAAGATGGATTCAATCAAGAATGCACATACAATTTTGACTAAGACATAATCCTGTAAGCACCCACATCCAAATTCCATTAAATTTATTATTCTACATTTGCCGTATATTCATGCCACTATAAATTTAATAAGCCAGCCTATTTTTATATTCTAGTGACATAAAAAGATTAATTTAATAGTAATCTGTTCATGCAGCAGTTGCAATTCAAGGACAGAACTGAACTATAACATCATGCAACATTTTGAAGCACATGTTTTAACAATAAATTACCTTCACTGACTTGAAAAAAGGCTCAAAGAAAGCAAGTAAATTATTAACAAACACCCCCTCCAAAAAAAGACTATGGAAGGAGAAATGAGTCAATAGAGATTCAAATTAATTTAATTTAAAAATGAAAGAAAATCAAAAGTGAAACATTTTGTAAAGTAACAATTTAACCCCTAAAGACTATACAGAAAGCATTGTTTTTGTAGAAGAACAACATACTATGCAAGTGAAAATGGAAAATGATGGAACAGAAAAAGTGATCTACAAAATATGGCTATTAAAGTTCATGGTCAATCTTAGAGAATGTTATGCAATGTAGTGAGTGATCCTAAAATATCCAGAAATGTGAGGATTAGCTTGGGGGCTAGATTGAAAACTAGCTTTCATGGATATTTCAACTTCTTAAAACAAGTGCCAGTCAAGATGGACAGGTGTTGAATATATTTTTTATTCATCTTATCAAAATGATTACATTTACCTTTGGAACGATCTCCCCGTGGAGATTCGTACCCTCACCACCGTCCAGACCTTCCGCACAGCCCTTAAGAACTGGCTATCNCCGTCCTTCCTTCCTTCCTTTCAACACTCCTTCTCTCTTTCTTTCCCTCCCTCTTTCCCTCTTTACTACCCTCTCTTCTACACATTTATACATTTATATATCTTATCTATATATTTTCCATACCACCCAAGACCATTCCACTTCAGTCAATGTGGCCCAGGCAATGATGTACCCTTGATGTAGATACTAAATAGCAGTGGAGACAGTGGAGAGCCATGAGGAACCCCACAAAGCAGAGATTTAGATTCCCCCTCTCCCCCGGATGCCATCTGGAACCAGCTCTCCATGGAGGGGAATTACTCTGGGACTCTTTCTGTATCAAAAACCATGGAGAGCTGAAGAATGACCAGAATGGATGCACCACCTCCTTATGGTCCAGCCAAAAGGCCATCTCCAAGTGTCATCTGCCTTACCTCAATACTATATCTAGTCGGAAACCTGATTAAAAAGTTACAGGTAATCTATTTCCTCCAGTGACTTTTGAAGCATCAAAGTAGTTGCCTTTTGTCTTGGAACTTAGCATAAATGGAAATCTCCCTAACACAGATAGCCCTCGACTTACAACCACAATTGAGCCCAAAATTTGCGTTGTTAAGGGAGCCTTGCCCTATTTTACGACATTTCTTGCCACTTTTGTTAAGTGAATCACTGCAGTTGTTCAATTGGTCGCATGGTTGTTAAGTGAATCTGACTTCCCCATTGACTTGGCTTATTAGAAAGTTGTAAAAGGTGATCACATGAACCCGGGACACTGCAATTGTCATAAATGTGAGTCAGTTGTTAAGCATCTGAATGTAAATCACATGACTATGGGGATGTTGCAGGGGTCATCAGTGTGAAAAATGGCCATAAGTCACTTTTTTCAGGGCGGTTGTAATTTTGAACAGTCATTAAGCAAATTATTATAAGACAAGAACTACCTGTATTATGTCCATAGCACAACCCTTTGAGGTAATTTGAATTATGGGAGAGAATAACTAGCTCAAAGTCACTCAGTGAGATCTATGATCAAGTATGAACCTGAACCTGGATCTCTATAGTCTTCTGCCTCCTTTCCCAAAATATCACAAAATGTGTGACAATGTGGAAAAGGCCAGTTTCCTTCATCCTCACTGTGGGCCTCAAGGAGACTCACTGAATGTCATTTTAGAACAGTACTGCATTTTTCCTGGCACATACCTCAAGGAAAGC